AATTACTCTTTTATTTTTCTCGTGTTCAGTACATTAATGAGCATCGATTGATAGGTATTCCTACATGAAATTCTTAAAAAAGCCGGCCCAGCTCATGAGCGGCCATTGAAAGACTCAAAATAATTTGGGAACCATCATAAAACAAAAAGTTTTTTTGAAACTGGGTAAAATTTTGAATTGATCACATAAACTCGTGTCCATCATAGGATATTTTCTTGACAACTGTCAAAATATTTTGGGTAACACCATATGATATAACGATTATTTTGAGGAGCGGAACTCAAGCATCATTATTTGTGAGTCTGTCTAATATACATACATACGTAGCGATAACAGAAAATGCAATGAGTCTGTTTCGAAACGACACACAGTGGTCCAAATGCTCAATCTAGCCGAACAAATCTCATAACTCGCGTTTGCAAAGCCGTATCGAAATAAAATTTTGCATGTTTATAGACTACACCAATATAAACCGTTACAATTAAGTCAGATAAATCCCCATTTAAAATTCTAACTGAATTAAGATATTGATCAAAACTTTCAGACCCGTGCATAATTTAATATTTTTTCTAAAACAAACATTTTTATGAAAAATAGAAACAGCAATTTTTACTCATACCTTAATTACACCAACATTTTTTCATTTTACTTTTCATATTATTTTTTTACAACTAGATTTTTGTATCCGGCGTTGCTCGGGGTTTTAAGTGGTTTAGAAATATAAAAATTTCGTTGACTTAAATAACATAACATAGCATTTACGAAATAAAAAAATTTTACTCATTTTACCTCTCACTAAGAAATTAATTCACAAATTTTTTTGCCAATTTATAAAGCTAAAAGAATCCAAATTTATAATTCTAATACATCTAGTTAGGTAAAACTATAGTATACATATTTAACTTAGGAGAAAGAATAATTCTAGACTTAAAGCATAAAGTGCTAATTTTCCCTAACTTCTTCGTGTTTAAATACATGGTGAAGGTCTCCTTATGAAGAAAGTCCTTGCAATTTCTTTGTGATCTTATAAAGCTATAAAAGAAATTTCATTGAAATTTCACAGTACCAAAACTACTACTCATACCCTCCTTCTCCATTGAATTATTCAAATTTAGGTATTTTGTTTAATATATTTTGTATCATTTCACAAATCGATGTTGTAGAACATTTATTAAGAAAAACACGTCAGAGAGGAACCTTTCCCTCTTCAATGATGTTTTGCAAAAACATTTTTGAAAAACACATTTCTTGACCGATTACGGAAAAATATTAATAAAAAATATATACATATTTCTCAAATTTCATAAAAGTACAAAAAATGTAGCAAAGGAACACATAATTAGCCGTTTTTGCCCGTTTATTTTGAATTTCTTTTTCCTGTTTTTCCCTCTAGGGGTGGACATTCGAATACACATACATATCTCTTAAACTAAAAACTCATCGTCTAAAATATTTTTACTCTAGAATGAAAAAAAATCAGACTTAAAACATAGATGTACAAATTTTTTCTGTTTTTTTTCGCCTTTTCTCATATTTCGAAACGGAACTTTGCTACATAATACATATTTCAGACACTTTAAAAGCTTAATGAGAAAGCTTAATTGCTGAAGTTATATAGCAATGCTTGCGTAGCTATTCTAAGAAAACAAAATTTTGCGTTATGGGCTATGGACACTTGACAACATATTACCATACAAAAAAATAGATTTCGAAATATGTATTTGAAAAATGACTTTTGTCCGGCTAGATTGAGATTTTGGACAACAGCGCGACGTAATAAACCCATCACTTCTTTTTGCTGTTTATTCTATTAACTAAAAGTTAAATATTTTATATCTGCTGAAAAAAGTGAATAACAGTAAATTTAGATTTATTGTAGCGTTTTTAAAAAAGTTTCTTAAAGAAATAATACACCACGAGTTTTATAATAATTCATAAAATAAAAACAACTATTATTAAAGATAAACTGCCTTATTCAAAAACGATTATTAATATTACCAATGGTTTACTACTAGGGATGCCAATCCCGAAAATCCCGGGATTTTTCGGGATTAGAAAATCCTGAATCCCGGGATTTGCAAAATAAATCCCGGGATTTTTTCGGGATTAGGATATCCATGGATTTGTTACTAAATTTTTTTTTTTGAGCCATAATTTCATTCAATTCGCTTAAAAATTACGATCTTAGTTTATTTTTGACTTATGCAGAACAAAATTCAGCACAGCTAATCTTGTACATTTTGAACTTTTTATTTTTTATAGTGGTATGATACCATATATAGTACATACAAATTTATTTTTTCATACACATTCTTTGTCTATAGTAGACTCAAATTTGGACCAAAATTAACACAAGAAATCCTAAAAGGACCTCTTCTGAAAATCAATTTGATGCCAATATTAATATCAATACATTACAAACAGCTATTTGATGAAATTCACTTTTAAAGTAGAATCGATTTGAATCTACAAAAATAATTCAAAAATTGTGTAATATTCAATTTCTGTGACTTTTCATACAAATTATCATATTTTTTTAAATTGAGTCTCTTAAATGGAAAATATTTTGTTGTCTGCGTATTATTTTGCAAGAAAGTAATAAACCATTCCTCGATCGAAATTCATCATACCTTTTCAAATCGATTGATTTCAAATCGTTCGAATTCCATCACATACCGGAATATTTATTTTATTTCGGCACAGTCAAATATAAAATTTATTTTTTAAATGATATCTAAATTGATATCTAAATGATATCTAAATAAAATTGTTCTGAATGTAGATAACATTTTCCAAAGAAAAGGTTCATTTATGATCTAAATTGATATTCGAAGGATTGAACGTTGTATTTATTATACCCTACACCACTACAGTTGGGAGGCATACAAATATTGGTCCTACACCCACCTTAAAGAATACCGATCGACTCAGAATCACTTTCTGAGTTTGCCGTCGTTTGACCGTAGCCCCCATACGAACCCTTAAACGTCCAAAGATTTACTTATAACCATTAGTATCGCGATGACATTCAGCATAACTAACCTTTATATAAAATTATCTTCCCAATTTTTTGAGGATCGGCCCATATTTGACCCTAGCTCCCACATAAAGCCTCTTTTAGAAATTTAGTTTTTCATCAATAAATTGCTTAAATACAATTAAGCAATTGGAATTAAGGTAAAATTCAAAAATTTTTTTTATGAAAAATAAATAATTTTTAAAATATATAAATGGTCTAGGGTATCATATAGTCGGCCATAGCCGACTATACTTTCCTACTTGTTTTTATTTAGGAAGTATGTATGTAGTTACCAAATTTCTGAAATTATGATATTCTAAATGTTTTTATTCAAGAATTGGAATTAATTGGATTGCTTTAATTTAAATTTATCTTCTGTCGATTAATTTCCACAAGATTATACAATTTTCTTCACAAACATGAAGATTTAAGATTTTCGTGTATAAAATAATTAAATTTATGTAATCCCGAAATATCCCGGGATCGCGGGATTGCAATATTCAAAATCCCGAATCCCGGGATTTGTAAAAGCCAGTCCCGTTTGGCATCCCTATTTACTACACACCTTTTCCATATAAAAACTGATTTTAATAACCAATGTTTATTTAATAATTGTTTTTGGATAAGACAGCTAGAATATAAGAATTGGATTGCTCTTTTATGTGAACAAATTTGGGAAATGATTTTTATTTTAAATTTGCATAAATTTCTGAAGTCTTAACAATAACTATAAACTTACATTGAAATGTAATGAGTTAAAACGTTAATAAAACCACTTTTCACTACTTTCATATGCATTGGTTTTTGAACTCATTATTTTACACGGCAATGACCTTGGGAAGAAATTACTTACCACGATCGCTTATAAATAGAGAGTTAAAAAGTTGTTTTATTTGGCAAAAATCAAAATAAGTACTTACATCTATGATTACACCGTCCAACAAAAAAGAAAAAAATCGTTAGACATGAACCGGATGATATACGTCTAAAATCATAAATTTAACGGAGAAAAACTGCGTTTTTGGTTTATCATTTCGTGATCCCATGTCCTTTAAAAAGACTTCAAAATTTTAGAGAAGTACATTTTTCAAAAAAATATTTTAAAATACTTCTACTGCAAAAAAAATTACCAAATTTGATTTTAATAGAACAAGGAGAGTTTTGACATATTTTGTATTATTTTTATTTCATACTATCAGGGTAAAAAGGTGTCAAAAATGTATTTTAAAATTTTTATCCTTTAATATCTATTTAGGTTTTCAATTCTATTCGTGTCTAATTTTGAGTGTCGTACGGTGTTATATGCAAGTCGTTATTAGCAAGTCATGTTAGCAAGTCTTAATTATCCTTTTAACTCATTACTTATTAATGTAAGTTTTTGCTGGGTTATTGATTTCGGTTTGAAACAACACTTTGTTCAAATAAAATTTGTTTGAGTAAAAACCTAAAATTTAACGGTTTAATTTGTATCTCTAAAGAATAAGAAAAATTAAAAATTTTACGTTATGCTTAATCAAGCACAAGTGGGTATAATTTTTAAGCAGCCCTAGTAAAATATACACTTATGTATCACATTTAAAACAGACTTAAACAATATTTGCACTTAGTATCGCAGCGTTTAGGTAGACAGATGATATAAATTTCCATTTTTGTGCAAAATTTACTTTTCAAATAAAAATATTAATCCAAACATACCTACTATATATGTATGTACCTACACCTAAACACAAATAAAATTACACAGCATCATAATAAATATAGAAAAAATATGTGTAGATGCAAGTGGCGAGGAAATTGTGTTGAAAGAGGAACATTGAAAACAATTAAATAAACTTCATCTATTATTTACTCTATTTAAGTAAAATACTTGTTTACATTTTGATAAAAAATGTTAAATGAATAAATATACATTTTATTAAAATTAAAATAAATAAAACACAAGATTAAAAGAAAAATATTAAAATAGTAAAAATACACTTACCAGCAGGCAACATTTCCGGCCAAACACTTGCACATTTTGTAAGAATTTGTTTGTCTGCTTTCTTTTTAAAAGGTGTTTGACTTTTTTATTAAATTGTTTTTTTGTATGCAAGCGTTTTTTGCAGAAAATAAAACTCTATTGAATTAAAAGAAATTAGACCTCAAAATTTAACCAACCGCCACTTACTGCGTACCAAACGCTACTGAGTGTCGACAAAGGCACGCTGAGTAAGGTTGAGTTGTTTTGGAAACAAATACAGAATGAACAAAAACATAAATATTTTGTTTGTGTAAAGTGACATGTTACTTTCAAATATGTCTACTGTCAAATCGTATTTACAGGGTAATTCAAATAATTTTTATTTTAGTACTTAGCTGCACAGTGAATGGAAATACATAATCGAAAGTCTAATTAATTAAAACATACACAATAGTTGTGTTTTGTTGCTATCAATGAGTGTTAACGCTTAAAGTTAGCAACAAAACGAACATTACCTGACTTGGCATCACTCCACAGAAGAAATCTGCTAAATCTTGAAATTATGTACAATTTCTTGAAAAGGTTTTTTTATTTGGTAATTTTCTTTGATTTAAATTTTATTTTAAAATATTTTTTTATTGTTTGACATAAACACATTAATATTTGTATTTTTATTTTTGAATTGGTAGCACTTTTATCAACGTTAAAATTAACTTGTATAATTTTACACGTTAACTCCTAACGTTTATAAATTTTAAATTTATATGAAATTGCCTTTGAACGTTAGCAACAAAACACAACTAATATAAAAAGAACAGTTTATGTACAATGTTTAACAAATTAAAAATTAGTAAATACTAGACTTTTTTGAGTTGGCAATTTTAGAATATAAAGTATCGATATAAAAGAAAATTAGTTAATTTCAATAAATCATTAAAAAAATTGTGATTCAGAAGATAACACAGATTTTAACAGCCTTACAGCGTTTACGGTAAAGCAGTGTAATTCTATGTTAAGTTTTATTATGTTTTACAGGAAATCAAAACACAATTGACCCTTAAGAGCCAGAATTCATGTTTTTATCCTGTAGTTACCAATTAAATGGCTGGTAACGTATGTATATCAATTTTAGAGATTATATAGGTTTTATAATTAAAAAAATCAGCTTTCAATCCTTTGATTTTTTAAAATTATGCCAAAATATTTTTGGCGATATCTTCTATTAAAGGGGTACAAAAATTGAAGCCATACAATTTCCAAAAAAGTTCAAAATTTCCCCGTCCACTGTTCCCAAGTGGGACAGCATTTTTCCCTGTTAGTAAATTCCCATAAATTTTATAAAAAATTAAAAATTATTTTCTTTCTATAGAAAAAGTAAACGAAAACTTTTGGATTTTCTTAAGGTTTTAATGTAAACCTCTACTAAAAACGTGGTTTTTGTGTTAACAAGCATAGAAGAGACCATTTAGTTATTTCATTTTTTCCAAATTTCTCACTAAGGGGAAGGGTAAAATAAGGAAAGTGAATATGGTAGAATCTTCAAAATACTACTAAATCATTTCCGTAAAAGTGAATTTCGGAATGTAGCCCTATACTATATAAACCAATCACCTTGTTATATGTTTTCCTCATTTATTACACTTTTTCTAATTTTTTATCGTTTATATGTATGTAAGGATAGCGAAGTACCCAGGATATGCTAGGTGCTTCGCTATCCTTACCAAAATTAAATACATACAAAATTTTGTTTACTTTTATAGAAAATTTCGAAATTACTATTTGAAAAAAGTATTATAAAATACCTCTTATTTATTCAAAAATTTTATGTTTCTGTGTTCAATATTATATACAATTCAAAAAATATAATTTGATGAATGAAAAAGTACCAAAAGTCCCTTTCAGTAGATTCTCATTCACTAAGGTCCCTATATTTTAAATTTTATGTTCAATATCGTAAAAATATCAAAAAGTACCATCGGAAAAACGAAAATGTACAAAAATCTCTCTCAATAAATTCTCATTTAATAAGGATGTGTTGCGGTTAACCATTATAGAGAAACTAAAAGGTACAATTTGAAGAATGAAAAAGTACAGAATGAAAGTACAGAATATTACTCAGTCATAAATTTTAACATACATGGTTTTGTATGTTAAAATTTATGTGTCTAGGTTGAATATTTTAGAAAATTCAAAAAGTACCATTTATGAGATAAAATGTACTAAAAAGATCTCTCTTAAAGAATCCTATTCAATGAGAACCGTGTATGTTTAATAATCATATGTTTTGAATTCATATTATAGAACATAGTGTATCATTTGAAGAAAGAAAAAGTACCAAAAGTGAAATAAATTGTACCTTAGTGGAAAGTACTAATAAAAATAGTACAATTTTTCCCCTTTTCGCTTAGAAATTTACTTTTTTGAGAATTAAGTTTACAAAATGTTCCCTATTTAAATTTATATATCACAGATAAAACCCAAAAGATTCAAATCTGCACTCATTTGTTCAAAAAAAAATTGTGCTTTCAAAAATTACCAAAGAATTTACTCGAATTTGGTCATATATAGGACTTAGTACTCGAATTCTAAAATAATATACCAATAGCTTATTTTGTGTGAGTAAATAAACTACTTTTTCAAATTTTAGAAAAATTGGCTCAATGAGTTTAAATAAAATTAAATTTCCCGTTTTTCCCCTTTTTGGTAGTTTTTTCCCCATTGAAATAGCAAAAATTTTGTTTCAATAAATATTACAGAGTTAGTCCATAATTTAATAGGAATACTTCAATAAATCGAAAAAGTTTTCTTAATGTGCTAAAAAAAAGTACCAAAAATACAGTTTTCTCTCTTTTACACCCAAAAAGGACTGCATTTAAAAAAAGTGCGAAACAGGTGTTTCCTAATTTTGGCAGATATATTCAAAATATTTACAAAAATGTTATTTTGTTTATTAGTTAAAAAGTTATAAGAGGTCAAAAAAGGTACCAAAATCACCTTTGTTACACATTTTCACCACTTAAAAGTACGAATTTCAAAAAAGTACCAGACACCCATCTACTTATTTTAAGAGGTGCATTTAAAATTTTTCTTGTATCACTAATATTAGGTAAGATAATTAAGAAAACTAGTTTTACCCGTTTTTTCCCTTTTTACCCGTAAATGTACAAATTTCCAAAAATCCCTCCTACTAAAATACTCCTACTGTCAAAATTTCATAATTCTAGGTTCAGCCGTTTGGGCTGTGCGATGATGAATCAGTCAGTCAGTAACGCTACTCTTTTTATACCCTACACCACCATAGCGGGGAGGGTATTATACGTTTGTGCTGATGTTTGTAACGAACAAAAATATTGGTCCTTCACCCAACTTAAAGTATACCGATCGACTCACAATCACTTTCTAAGTCGATTAAGCCAAGTCCGTCCGTCCGTCCGGCTGCCCATGTAAACCTTGTGCGCAAGGTACAGGTCGCAATTTTCAAGATATTTTGATGAAATTTGGACCAAACGTGTTAACGACGAAGCCATTTAAAATTGTTGAAATCGATCCATTATTTTACCTAGCCCCCATACAACCCGAAAAGGGCTTTTGAGTTCATAATTATGTTAAATATTGAAGTATCTCTACAAAAATCGGCAAAACTTAGTTTTATATACGTCTTAATAATGCTACCGATTTTCGTAATTATCGGACTTTATTTGACCCTAGCCCCCATACAAAGTCCCCTTCAGAAAATGACTTGAAGGTCAATAATTCACTAATAAACACTAGTATCACGATGAAATCCAGCATACATAACTCTAAGGTAAACGTAATGCCATGTACCAAAATTAATAAGGATAGGCCCATATTTACCCTTGACCCCATATAACCCCTCTTTTAGAAAATCGTTTTTTTTTTTCAACAAATTGTTAAAATATTTCGGATTTAAGGTAAACTACTTAAATGCTTTGTTATTAAAAATAATTCACATTTTTAACATGCTCAGTGGTGTAGGGTGTCATATGGTCGGCCATGCCCGACTATACTAGTAGATAAATAAATTGATTTCTGCAAAAGGGGTTAATTTTGTCAAGGTATTTTGGTTACAATAAAGTAGCATGGATCTAATTGTTATGAAATTTGACGGAAAAATTTTAGTTCAAATAAAAATTGTTTGAGTAGAATGCTATACTGGCATTTTTAAGCCAATTACACTGGTCTGCAGTGAAATCCTTCATTAAGAAAAATTATAATAGAATTAAAGACATTAACACACTAAATTTAATTCTGCTCTAATGAAGTATTTACCATTCATTGAACTATTTAGGAGTAAAATGGACAGACCAACGGTAGTAAACGTATTAAAATAATGGATATTAACTGAACATAACCTGTATAGCATAAAAATAGATGTATTATTTATTATCATTGAATTATCACGCCCATTTAATAGATTTTGTCCATTTTTTGTAGAACCGTTTATATTAATGAAGTGTAAAGTTATTTTGATACGGCATTGCTAAAGCGAGACTGACTTTTTTCCGACTACATTGAGCATTTGGACAACTGTGTGTTTATGAGCTTAGCGCACAATGCATACAAATTTTTAGTACACTATGTAGTACATCAAGAGGTTGACCGTAAATTGATGTAAAATTTTATTTATATACTTATGTATGTATTTAAATTCCGCAGATTTATAATTTATCTAATTTTTGTTTTCAATTTTGAAGCCAAAACTACAACTGCTTCGGGAAAAATATTTATATAAAATCTCAAATTAAGTTATTGTATCAATCACACTTAATATAAAATATTATTCCGCATGCAGTGTTGCCATATATGAAGATTTATCTTCATTTTGAAGTTTTTGGAGGTGGTTTGAAGATAAGAAGATTTTTATACCAAAAAAGACGATTTTTATAAAGTTGCCATTTTTAAGTTTTTTACTCCATCAGGAGTAATTTTTTCTCAAAAATTTAAAATTCGATAATCTAATACACTCAGAATTATAGCATTTTTAAATAAATGCAGTATCTATATTGATACATATATTTATATAGATTGTCCAAAGACAAGCCTAAACAAAGGGAAGTCGGAAGGCTGAAATAAGAAAATTCATCGATTGAACAAGTAAAATATTTTAATTGAGGAAATCGTGTTAAATTACTTTACAGTTCTCACTTAATATTTGCAAACCTGACGAGAACGGACACACATATACATATTATCTAACTATTTACGGTTAGATTTTAATCAAAATAAATGTTAATTAAGTTTTACAATTAAAATTTGTTATAATGAAGATTTTTTTTAGCAAAAAAAAAGGATTTTTTTGATAGAATTGTTTTTTTTTTATGGCATTCCTCACGAACACTGATTGGAAAATTTTTAGGAATTACATCCTTCCTGGACTTAGTTTTTGAATATGGAAAGATAAAACATTCAGTGAACACTTTTTTTCCAACAAACATTTTTCTTCCATGAAAATGAGCGCACAAAAAGCCTGATAGTGGTCTAGGTGTATTTCTTCGGATTTGCTGTAATATACATCATCTTTTCAACCTAACCTAATATAAAATATATTAAACCCAATTTTTAATATTCTCAAAATTCGTTTATTTAATATTTTTGTTCTAAACATTCAACCAAAGTTATGACTTTTTGAACTAAATCAAATCAATGTTTAATTGGCTATAGTTTTGAGTTATAAAGGAGATGGAGTAGGATTTGAGTATTATAGTTTATGTTTATGTTTATTTGTTTTGTTTTTTAATAGGTATGTATAAAATAATATGTTTATATATAAAGTTAATGGATATACATACAAGTATGGTATGAATGCATGTAAGTATGTATGTTTTAATATAATTACTTATATCGATTATATTTATTTATATACGAGCATTTAATAATTCTAAATAATTTACATCTATTTACAAAAACGGTGCTTTGAAACTAGTTGCATGAACATGACAATAAAATACCTAAAATATGTTTATTTACATACGATTGCTTATAAATAAATATCTAAATAATTAAGTAAGTTAAGTAGTAAGTATCTGTATAAGTATTTATGTAAGTATAGTAATGTATATTGAATGTACTTAGTAAATGCCAACAAAAGAAACAATTTCTAGTTAATTATGAATGTGTATGTAGAAGTACATGTGTATGTATATCACAATGATGTTCATTTATAACGTCTAATCCGCTAGAAGAGATGACAGCTATCGCTCTAATACTGTGGTGGAGATTCGCCGCCTGATGTTATTTTTTGAACTCGGCTGACATCGTCATAAGCAATGGAGAAAACGCTTTTCTTTTCGGCAATCGGATTTCGACGGCCCATGCTGTTGAGCAGGGAATTCATGGCAATACCTGAATCATGATCGTCCTCGAGTGTAGCAGCATTAAGTTGTTTCTGTACAGAAGTGGAGGAGGAATTGTGTGAGGTAGTGGGATGTGTGCCATTAGGATCCTCAATGTATAGATTAATTTTTGAGGAGGAGGATTTTGAAACTTTCACTTCGTTTTCTTTGATAGGGGATGGTTTCGGTTTTGGGACTTTTGCATTAGCATCTTTGTTGCCTGAGAAGGTTGGTGGTGTTTCGGGGTAGATATAGTGTGGCAGTTTGGACGGCGGTACGGGAACATCGGGAATATTTTCACGTTCAAAACGATGCTCTGAATGTTGTACTAAGGGGTGGTTGGTCTCCGTTTCAATACGAGGTTTGAGCTGTTTGTTCTTAACAATGTCTTCTTTAAGTAAACGATTTCCTTTGGGAGGAGATTTTCGTGGCGCTGGTTCAGGTTTAAATTTGGTTTCATCTTGGTTTGCAGTTGCTGCATCTACATGTTTAATATGAAGTCGAGTCTTTGAGACTTTCTTTTCAGGAGCATTGGAGTTAGGGGGCTTCTTACGAGCTGCCTGACTTCCTTTAGTTGATGATTCAGTAGAGGTTCGACCACTAACCGAAGGTTTTTTCTTATCATAGTACCATTCCATGTATTTGGGAATACTGCCCGCTCTAGCTCTTCCGTAGGAAGCTTCATCACGTTCCAACAAATCTGTTTCGCTTTGTGAAACTCGACTTTCGTGAATTTCCGTAGTAGTGATTTGTGTGCCAGTTTCACCATTTGATTGATATTTCGTTATGGAAACTCGACTTTTTGGAGGTTCTGAGACTGTTTGTTTCCTTTTTACGTTACGTTGTGAGGCGTTGCTGGCACGGGAGCTGTCGCTGCGCGATAAACGAGGTTTGGCTTCAGGCATAGCTTCACCTCGATGTTCCGAAGATGATCGTGAATTGGAACCATTGTTAGTTTTAACAATATTGGTTCCACTGCCACCCCCATCACTGACGTGAATTTCGAAACGGTGCTGTTGCGATGAATTTCTTCTTGAATCACTTCTGTTTCGATGTTGGTTACTTGGTGTGAAGGCGTTGCTTTTTATGACTATTTCGCCAGCATCAGAGTCGTTGGAGTAGTCAGCGTCAACATCGAGTTGCTGCTGGTATTCCTCGTCGTCTGATTGTTCATCGTAGTATTCTAGTTGCTCAACGCGAATTTTTCTTCGTTTTTGGTTGTCTTTTGCATCGTATGTTTCATCTAAGGAGTCAGATATTTCCATTAGTATGTCACGATTTAAGGGTTCTTTATGATGGGATGAATTGGTTTTTTGTTGCTTTTCTTCAGTTTTAAGACGTCTCAAAATACTGGCTTTTGTTTCGCCATTATTTCGTGGTGGCTTTTTTGGAGTTGGACGTTTTCGTGCTTTATAGTATTCCTCGTCATCTTCTTCCTTGATGGGTGTTCGAATTTTTCGTTTAACTTCTTCCACCATGACAATTCGTTTGCGCGGATGACTTCCATTGCGATACTTTCCTCGTCTTCGTGGCTTACGGCGTTTTATGCAATAAACAACCCCTTCAGGGCTGTTAGGAGAACTAAGTCGAATGTACTCGTAGTTTTCTTCTTCAGAACCAGAATCATCATTTTCACTTCGTGCTCTTCGCCTTACCGTTCGCCCTTGCGTACTTACTGACGTTCTATGTGAAAAGCCTTCATCCATCTCCGTTTGTGTACCAGCTTCACACTCGGTTTGAGTGGCTATTGCCATTGATTGGCCGGGCAGGCTCTGCGTTTCAAGCGCTACTTCGTGCTGAACATAACGAGTTTCTATCTTTTCCTTTTCCATTAGAATTTGTCGCAACAATTCATTTTGTTGCTTAAGAGAATTCTCTAGTTCTTGGGTTAATGATTGATTCGACGTCGCCGGCTGCATCTGGTTGGGAAAACCATCAACTTGCAAAGTACTAATTGCACCCTGGGCTGGTTGGGTATGAATTACTTTCACCTCCGGCTCTGTTTGGGAGTAGACAATACTATTTGGACCAGATTTTCCCAAAGGAAATGTATCACCTTTTAGAGTCGAGTTTTGTTGTATTTCATTTGGCATCGATTGGATGTAGGTCGCTCCTGGAACAATTTGATAATGTTCACGTATAATTTGTTTACCATCAGGTTGTTCTTCTATAAAACGGCGCATGAGAATCTCTTTTCCACAATTATCAACCATTAACAACTGCGGGTGTGAGAGGTTTGTACTCTTCAGTGGTACGTTAACGTAAATGTTATCGTCATCTGCCATACCAGTGGCTCCTCCAATCGCTCCTAAATCTCGATTCTTGTCTCGCGTCATTAATTGCAAGATTTCAACATTTCCATCTTTAATAAAAAACTCCCTTTTATTTTTAAGACTGCTTCGAGCAGTATTATAGTCAATATCACTTCCCCTATCGATTTCATGGCGACGCATGGAATCATCATCGATTTGATGTCTTTGAGCCATCTCTTCACTGTCATAACGTTTTCTTTGTTGGCGATTAACTTTACTGCGGCGAAATTGTTCCTGTTCCTCGTTATCTTCATCAACTAGTTCGCGTTCATCGATAACGTCTTCAATGTAGACATCACGATCATTAATAAGATTAGTTCTAGAATTATGAAAACTAAGATGAGTATCGTCTTTGGCTGTACGGGTATTTCTGTAAATAAAGAAAATTATTGTATTTCAGTTCGTGTGTACATCGATATGGAGATAGCAACTTACTTTATTTTAACTCTTCGATGATGCTCCTCGGCCGATCGTATGCGACGAGTTTCTTCAGAATGTGCTCTCGCTTCGCCTACGTCGGTCACATGAACTACGCCTAGGTTTTCGTCAAACTGTTGGCGGCCATTGTGGAACTCCCAACGGGTAGGCTTCGTTCGTGGATCGGTCGGTTTGTCCGCGGACCAGGCCTCGCGTCTTCCCATCCACTCGGCGACCTTGAAAGAATCAGTAGATTTTTCGATAAATTATCATTTTAGTTGTTTATCATTTGTTTAATATGTACAGATTATAAGCATGGAATTAAATTTATGCGTATAGTTATACATAGTTTTCATTATTCGGATAGCGAGATACTATATACATAAGGAGTTAAGAAATCGAAATGGAGTTTAAAGCGTTACCGTATGCCACATTTAGGACCATTATTATAACTTGTCAATATATGCTTATCGTATAGATAATAGATTATAATAATTAAGCTAAAAGAGACCGATAAGCCAACGGAAGATAGTCTTAATTTTAACTTTTAGCCTAAGGTTATGGAATTAAATGTTGCCATATTAATGTATCTGGCAACATATGAAGGAATAATAAATTTAAATTCAATGAAAACATATTGAAATGTGGAAAGTAGTTTAATTTTTTTTGTGTGATAATTATAATAATGAACATAAATAATGTTCACTTTTTAATATACTTTGGTTGAAGTTACTTTTTACCAAAGTACTCTTAATAGGTTAGTTATAATAGTGGGCCTTATTTATACCTTTAGATTTTTAATAGTGGAAACTGATTTTATTTTATATGCAGTCTTAGGAAAACTATTTAATTACAAGTTTTGTGGGCTTTTTCATTAAACGCTATTTATATTTCAATTTAAGAAAAAATTTATATAATTATAAATAAAATAAAAAATGTGTTTAGGTAATTTTTATTGAAATAGGAGTTAAATATTGTCAGTTTCCATACAAAAAATGTTTTAAATATTTTTATACTCTTGTTTATTTATGTTTGATTGAAAAATTCATAGGAAATGCATATACATAGATATCAATAAAATTTAACTTATTCACGGCCGATGACAATAATAAAATTTTGCAATATATATTTGAAAATTTTCACACAAATTTATAATAAATAAATAATTTTTTTACAAATTGTTGAAAAAAACTAATTTGGAAAACTTTAAAAAATTAGTATTGTAAACAAAAAATCTTGCTAGAGCATTTATAATTGATTGCTGTATGTATTTACGTTAAATCGGAAAATTTCCAGTCGATTTTTTAGCTTTAATGTAAAACTATAATTTTTTCCCAAACCTGAAAGAATTTCAATTGTTATCGTTACAACAGCATATCATAACTTTAAAACCAATTAAAAAAAATAATACAATTTGCCACAATAACAAACGAAATAGTTTTCCACAATATAGTATTTGTCATACCTGAAAGCCCTTTAACAATTTAACGGTCCTCGATTCAATTATAAAGATTTGCTTTGACATTTTATTAACAACGAGTTGCGATAGTAGAATGAGTAAATGTATTTTTTAAAACATTAAAAATATTTAAATTTTAAAATAAGACTAAAACTATAACTGAAGAGTGGTTAATCTAGTATTGTAGCAAAAGTGAGTGAGTGATGTTAATTTAATATTAATATTTTTGGCGGCACCTTTTTGCATTTCATTTTCACGGAAAATGAAATTCAAAAATCTGCGTTTTTTATTCTTTATGATATTTTTGATTGATAAATTGTTAATATTTCTAAAGCACATAACCAAAATTTAGCTAAAATAAAAAAGAACTAAAACAAAACCACTACTGTCATTCACAGCTTGCAAATAAGGAAATAAAAAATGAAAAACTTAAGAAAAATTGTGCAGTACAAAAAATTACGAAATATTTTGCTCATTTAAGCCAGTACGAAAAAAAAATATAAAAAAGTGAAGGAACCCATTGAAGCATTTACGATATTGTTCGATACATCTATTTTCTTTTTGCCACTACATATTACAAAGGTCATAAGTGAGTTTTTTTGTATTTGTTCTATATATAATTGTATACTGTATACTATAGGAAAGATTTGCAAAATTGCAAAAATTTGTTTAATTTTTGTCAAAATCTACCTGAACAGATTTTGTTTGTTTTCCATTTGCCATTTCCCTATGTACTAGATGAACATCGTCTTCAGTTCTACTGATATTAACTATTCTTTTGCTACAAGAGAAAAAGAAATAATTAGAATAGAATGAATGAAAGGATGGATGGATGAATGGGTGAATGATTGTATGTATGATGAGTCAATTCAATGGATATTTTGGATAAATAGTTGATAATGGGATCATTTGGGATTATGTATTATAAAATTGAGGATGATATACAGATGGTATGGATTGATTGGATAATGTTTAATATGGTGATGCTTCAATCATATTAACTATACCGAAGCTAAATATGTATGAATGATTTTTGCTAAAACTGATTAATTTATCGAGCAGTCATTCATTATGATAAAAAACGAGGTTTTTGTTTTTTGTATTTTTTTTTCAAATTAATCACTGAATAAAATTAAAATATTTGTCTCAAATTTTTAATTGATATGACTGCTTGATGGTTTCAATTAGGTATTATTATAGATAGAGGAATAAGTATAATAAAATAAGTATATAAAATACATACCTAGTAGCGCCATACAGAGGACACCAGGAACATATACAGCACAATAGTAGTATCAGTATAGTCAAGGCCACTAATGTGGCAAGTAGTATTAGTAACCAAAATAAGAGTTTATTTTCAGCTTTATATAGAGTCTGCAATGGGGTAAGATCCTGTTTTTAAAATTTATGGGATTTAAGAAACTGTAACTGAAAATTTCTACTTACATCCGTTTCACTCGTGCTGGCTTCCCGACCAGTCATAATAGCAAAGGAACTATTATGTTGAGAGAGGCGCTGTTGGATTTGTGATATATCGACAACTGATGAACTATCATAAAGTACGGTGGCTGTAACTACACTTCTGTCCTTGATATCTGGATTACCCGAAGGTGGAATATTTTGTGCTCCTGGTTCATCGGGTTTTAATGCACGAATTTCGTGTATGATAACTTTACCACCAGTAATAGTGGACAATGTCTCTTCGGTTTTAGCTTTATCTGGATTCAAACCGGGCACTACAAAGGTAACCACTCTTGTACGACTTTCTGGAGGATATATACGTATAGTGGTTGTACTTGATCGAACTGGTACGCCTAAATCGTATGCACGAGCCGTAAGTATAAAAATGTTTTGTTCTTCGGCCGAAGGTGACGATGCTGTCATTGTCTGCCTTCTGTTTCTCATGGAAACCTCTTTTTTGGCACGAAAATTAACTTTTTCTCGGACGGTTAATTCACCCGTGATTTTGTCTAAAGCAAAATTATTGTCATAGTTGCCATTGATGAGCTCATAACGTACTTCATTGTTGGGGGCAGTGGCATCCTTATCTACTGCACGTATGACGGCTGTTGTGGTGAAACTTTTTAAATCTGGAGCCAAAATAAACTCATAAACGTCTTTTTCAAATATCGGCGTTTCGTCATTCACATCAATCATTTTAATTACTAATGGCACTTGAGCTCTATTGCCGGTACCATCATTGTCGCGCGCCTCAACATATAAATGATACTCGGGCATAACTTCACGGTCAAAGCCGTGGTTATTTGTGGACACAGTTATTAACCCGGTTTCGGCATCTAAATTCAATGAGGTATTAAGATAACCCAGTATTGCGGTATAACGAACACGACCACCCATCCCCGTATCCACATCATCAGCATGAACTTGAACGACCTTGGTGCCGACCGTCATATTTTCCGGTAGTTCTACCGTATACACTGGCTGTGTGAAGACCGGAGGATTGTCATTGACATCGTTGATATAAACGGTAACATTCACGATGGCAGAGAGATTAGTTGCGGGTCCCAGTTCCTGAGCTAAAATCTGAAACTCAACCGTTTGGCGTTCTTCATAGTCCAAAAGTATGTTATCACGTACACGTATTAAAAATGACGCACTACGTTCGGCGACATTGGGCGAAATCTCGAATGTTCCGTTATTGTTCAGTAACGTCAGCGAGAATACGCCATTTTTACCAGTATCATCGTCATAGACGCGTGGCACATACGGATCAACAAATGTAAGAGCCGTCCCTTGAGGAGCATTTTCATCAACTCGTGAAACATAGCTGAAAAAAGAAACAAAATTAAATTAAATTTGTTAGTTGTTCGATTTTTTTATAAATAAGTTTTCAAATTTAAATATACATGCATATACTGAAATTTTAGTGACAATCATTTGCGGAATGACTACAGATTATTGAAAGTTATGATGATGTCGACATTAATACCGAAAGAAATTTTGAGAGAGTATGATATGGATGATGGTGGTGTGTCATAATGTCCAGTGACATGATGTCCATGGACCTTATGACACACTAAATTATAGTGTCCATGGACGTTATGACAATTTCAAAGGTGTCACAATGTCTATGAGCATAATGACATAAAATGCATGGATTTAAAAGAGTCCATTTATCAAAAAAAGCCTTATTTAGCGAAGCCGTTATTCGAGTTTAAACCTTCTGCACCCGGCCGAAGGCCGTCTATCCAGAATACTTTTTTAAAGGAATCCAAAACGCAACATACGTCAAATTTAGGAGCAATTCTTTTCGGGATAATTCCTAATTTCTAAAAAAATTTCCAATACATTTCATTTCAAGTGTCACAATGTCCATGGACATTATGACACTTTTAAGAATTGTCATAACGTCCATGGACATTATGTTACTGAAAATTATGACACTCCACCTGAATGATATGGACTCAAAGAAATAGTACTGGTTAATCCGTAAAATAAGTTTGGTTACGGTTAAAGAAACTTAGTTATATATGTATGTAACTGTAGAGAACTATGTACTAAAAAAATATCAGAGTTTTAAGTTTGCAGATACATACAATATGTAAGCTTGTTAAAATAAATTTGAAAACTTTTGGCAAGGTTTGAGAGCAGCTGATAAATACAAATATTGTATAACGGATTATTGGACGACATAATCTTAAAATTACTTGAAAAGAATGCTAACGAAAGAAAATAGTGTTTCTTGTATTTTAATTTTAAGTTTATTTTTTGATGGCTAAAAACAAGCAAAAACTTGAGGAAAAACAAGCAATATGCTAATAATGGGTACATGCAAATCAGGCAAAAGCATTCAATGGATTCATTGCAATAGAAGGCACTGCAATGCAATGCAAAGATGGAAGGTAATAATCAACCAGTTCAACATAATGGTCTATTTCAATGTAGTCATGATGTTTTCTTTTTTCTTGTGTTTTATTATTTTTTGTTTTCTTTTCAAAACTTACTGATCGTTCTCAAAATATGGTGGCGAATTGGTACGTTCGGGTAAAAAGAATGCCAATTGAACGGTGGAAGCCATTGCTGGCGGTTCGTCACGACCAACCTTAACCTCTTCCGCAATTACTGTGAGCAAGACGGGATCGCCCACATGCGTGATTGCAGCGATATCCTCCAGAGGTCGCATTAGAAAGATTTCGCCTGAAAAGACAAAAATACGAAAAAATAAGAAGTAAATAATTTGCGAAAAATAAAAATGAATAAAACGAAAATTATAAAAGTGGAAAAATAAACAAAATAAGAATGTTGTAATAACACACACCAGTTTTTCCTCTTACTCCCCCTCCTTCTTCATGTAAAAGGAATAACTAAAATACAAAAATAACAAAAAGAAACTACAAGACAACATGGTCTGGAGTTCTGATCGTATGTACTCCAACTGCGATAGACAACTTGTTTATACTCGTGTACTTGAAGAGGTCGTCACTGTTATTGTTGGTTGGGATTTTGTTGTTGCTTTTGGAAAATTCGTGATGTTGCCATTTTAATGATGGCTCAAATTTCAAACTTTGAAGTAAATAAAAAGAACTTTGGATCATTGCACTTTTTGGGAATTTATAGGCACAATATAATTTTACACATAAAGAAATATATTACTCATAATATGGTATATTCATCTCTAACTGGCTTATTTTCGACTTAAATTTCAAGTTTTTCCTTTACTATTGCATTCTAAACTTATACTATATAAAATGTTTGCATATAGTGATATAAAAAATATGTGCCATACATATGTAGTACATATGCCATACATATGTAGTATTCAGATACATACTAATGTATGTATTACATTCTGATAACATTTTTAATATTGCAAAAACGCAATTGAAGCTATATTGTATATACATAGATTCGAATTATATAGATAATAAATATTATATAGATAATAAATATAGATATAGATAAAAATTATATAGATAATAAATATTATTTTCTTCATATTTTGTTTTAATGTTTCCAATCATTCCAAATTAGATGTTGTTTGCGAAAAAATCTTCAATATATACATACTACATATTGGGGTATTCAAACTATTAACCGTCGTCGATTATATGTGCTAAACACCTACAAAATCTTGAGATATATACGTGTAAAACCCCGGGTTTTCGTACCTTTAAGCACTTATAATTCAGTAACTTAGTTGAATCTCAATCTATATTAAGTTTCTCAACGAATGACGATGTTCAAAAACTGATTTTTTGAAGCATGCTTTACGGCGTCATGGAAAAACTCCACACGAAATAACTCACCAAAACAAAAATGAAATAACTTCCTAAAAATTTGTTCAGAAATTTGGGGATTTAATTCACTTTTTGGGGCATTTCACGACGTCATGAAATAACTCCCCAAAACAAAAATGAAATAACTCCTCAAATTTGGGGACTTATTTCATTATGAAATAATTTCCAAATTAAAAAATTAAAAAAAAGCCCCAACGAAATGAAATAACTCCCTAAATTAAAATGAAATAACATCCCATTTTTGGGGATTTATTTCATATGGAACAAATCCCTAAGTTTAAAATGAAATAAGTTCTCATTAAAAATTTGACATCTAGATAAAGAAAATACCAAATTATGGAACAAGTCGGGTTTAGTGACATTTTTAAAAAAGTAGGTCGCTCATACTTTCGAGTGGGGCTTCAAAGTTTAATACATTTCAGTTTAATCGGTTAATAAAGATTATACTCTATGGTATGTCCAACAACGGCATCGCTTAATAAATATTTCCTAAATAGCAGGACTACGGTCGGACGCAAGTATTTATCACTCTATCATATGTCCAACACCGGCTTTGCTTAGTAAGAATTTCCTAAAGAGCCGGCCTAAGGCCGTACGCTCTCGATACAGGGAGAGTGTACTCATAGCGAAGCCGGTGTCCAATATACCCAAGAGAATAAAATCCTTGCGCACGGCCGAAGGCCGGCTATCAAACATATATTTTTTTTATTTCGTGTGATAAAAGTAATATAATGTAAAAAGTAATATAATCCCAAAAACATTTTTAGAGATTTATTTCATTTTTGAATTTTGAGGAATTGCCCCAAAAAGCGAATTAAATCCCCATATCTCGTTGTTTTTGCATTCTGAACAAATTTTTAGGGAGTTATTTCATTTTTATTTTGGGGAGTTATTTCGAGGGTAGTTATTTCATGACGTCGCATTTCAAATTTAAAATGGGGAGTTATTTCATTATGAAAGAATTGCTCCAAATTCAAATATTTTTGGGGAGTTATTTCATTATATTACTTTTATGACACGAAATAAAAAACATACATACATATGTTTGATAGCCGACTTTTGGCCGAGCGCAAAGGTTTTATCCTTTGGGGTATATTGGACACCGGCTTTGCTAAGAATACACTCTCCCTGTATCAAGAGGGTTCGGCCTTAGGTCGGCTATTTAGGAAAACTTTACTAAGAGAAGCCGGTGTTGGACATATTATAGAGTGGTAAATTCTTGCGTTCGGCCGTAGGCCTGTTATTTAGGAAATATTTATTAAACGAAGCCGTTGTTGGACATACCATACAGTAGAAAGTCCTTGCGCCCGGCCACAGACCGGCTATTCAGAAAATCTCTATTAAGCGACTAAACTGCAATGTATTAAACTTTGAAGCCCCACTCGATGTCTAAATATGGGCCGATTCTTGTAAAGGAAGAATTTATGTTTTTATAAAAGTTTTTTATGCTGAATTTCATCGTGATATTGATATTAAATGGAGAATTATGAAATTTAAGTAATTTTCTGAAGGAGGGTTTGTAGTATCACTAAGGATTTCAGCAAATTTATTTATACCGATTTTTGTATTGATCGGAACCTATTTGATCCGAACCCGATAGGAATGCATATTTCAGTAAGCAATACACAGATTGGCAAAATCTTTTTTTTAGTGGTGGATATAAAAAAATAAAAAACATATTTGATCGATTAGAAAATATTTGATGTGTTTTTGTATAATTCAGAAAATAATTTTGCTACGTGCAGCTTTTTCCTAACATAAAAAAATCCATAAGTAAACTTTTATACTTATGTGCGTTTCTACATCCTAAATATCATTGTCCTTCGCAACTAGAGTTCGGAGTATCGTATGTAGTGTGTTGTGTAGAAAAGGCTGAGGAAGAAGTTAGTAGTCATCCATTGAACGTACACGACGTTGTTTTTGTTATGTTATGCTACTGCAGAAGAAGTACAAGGCTGAAGGCAGGAAAGACACGACATTCATCCATATATGTATGATTTTAGGTATGAGTAGTTCTGTTGATCCCATTGTCATGTGTGACTTAGTTGGGAATTTTGAATCTTAATGAAGATATGGGACTATATTCTAAAATGACAGCATCTACCAAACAAACCAAATGTAAAAAAGTAAGGGATGCACATATAAAGGTTGTTGCTAAAACAATAATGAAACGAATTGAACAAAAATGAATTTCAAATTAACAAGATATGTTTAAAGGTCACTGATTTCAAGATCTCATTTGTTTGTGGTTCAAAATATTTATTATATGCACATATGTACATAATTTTCCAACGTACTTTTTAGGCTCTATGTGGAATAGATGGGGTCGATGTAATATTTACAAAATTTTATAATACAGTGGTTTCCCGGTTTAACGAAAGATATAATGTCAGGCCCATTCGTAAAAACGAAAAGTCCGTTAAACCGAAAAACTACTTTTACATGATTAATTGATAATTATACGGTAATAGAAGGTAGGAAGTCTATTTTTTAAATCTTTTTGAATGCACCCATAAAGTTTTTGACAATTTACATGCATTTTTATGCAGTGTGCAAAAGATAGAAATTAGTTTTTTAGTTAAATTTGCAATCAAACCAAAATTAAAGATTTTATGAAAAATTGTATTACAATTAGGTAAAAAACAATATTTTTTGTTTATTGATGTTAAAGTTGTTTCATTTCGAAAATGAATTCTTCTCTTATAAAAAATAGGGATTTGATGCCCATTTTAATCGATGTGAAATTCTAAGTATTTTATGGTAATTTTCATTACAAACAATTCCATTTCTCACTTTATTAATAAAATAATCATAATATTCCCTTAAATAAAGAATTTTATATTAAAATGTATTTAATAAATTTTATTTATATATCCGAAAATAATTTTTTAAATGATATTTTCATTCCTATTCCCGGATTTTTGTATTTGTAGATTTTGTACCCATTGAATTGGGTATTGAACTTACATAAAATATTAATATGTTATTGCTTTTGGTTAATAAAGAAGTTTAGTTATCTTTCCGTAGTATTTTCACCTCTTTTTACAGAATTTTTTTTTAGAAATTCGTTATATCGAGTACAAAACTTACTCATTCATTCGTAATATAAGGTACTCAATGGAAACAATTTGTCCGTTCGTTAAATCACGAATTCGCTAAACTGAGTATTCGTTAAACCGGGGAACCAGTGTACTTATTTTTAACGTTTTGACGATGGTATGGTTAAAATTTGTGGATTTTGATTATTTAACAGTTTTAATCTAACTTAAACTCTACACATATTATCCTGATCAAGAGTATCGCTCATTCACTACATGACTGGCATAATCCAAAACTCGGGGGTTTCCAACTTCCCTGCGAAAATTGAGACCACTCCGCAAACGCGTGTAAGGAGTACTCCTCAAAGGACTAAGACTGGTTTATTTTTTGGCCAGTCCTATATGGAAAAAACATACTCCATTTAACATTGTGATGTTCTAGGTGAGGACCACGTAATCCATAAATGCATTACATCGGAGTAATCCCAAAACTAGTTCCATGCTGAAATTATGGGACCAGCAACATGATCTTATTTAATGCAGGCTATGGACCATGTTGTTTTCAAAAATATCAAACATGATCCATGCCTGCATTATATAGGAAATACATAGTCATATAGTATTGACTATGTATTTTTAAAAATGGCTACTATTTTCGGTGTACGAGTGTATAAGTCAGAGTTCTATATTCGGCTGTGCCGAATCTTTTTCAAAACAGTCGATCTGTGTAAAAGTTATTTAAAAAATGTAAAATGTCATAAAAGATTCAATGCTATTTTACTCAAAACGAAGTTTTTAGATTTATGCCGATATTGTAGTGAATGAACGATATGTATACTATTTGCAAGAAATTATTGTTCTT